AGGCCTTCCAACTGAGGGACAGTGTCTTCCTTGTCACGCTACTCTGAACTTTTCACTATCTGTGTGACCAGTGTAGCACAATAGAATCCTTTTGTTACCAAGACTTGAAAGGGTGACCCTTAATGGGATAGTTGAGGTGGAGGAAGGACAGAGATGAGAGCAAGGAAAGAGATATTTTGATTGAGGGAGCCATTATGGGGCTAGCAAGAAACCTGGCACTAGAGAAATTCCCAGGAATTCACAAGGATGACTCCAGCTAAGATTCTAAGCAATAGAGGAGGGTGCCTGAACTGTCCTTGCCCTGTAGTCAGATTGATGACTATCTTAAATGTCACATAGAACCTTCATCCAGCAACTGATGGAAGCAGAGGCAGGGAGCCACAGCTGGACTGAGCTCCCGAAGTTCAGTCAAAGATTGGGAGGAATGAGCATATGAGCAAAGAGGTCAACACCATGATGGGGACACCCACTGAAACAGTCTACCTGAGCTAATGGGAGCTCATCAACTCCAGTTGGACAGGGAAGGAAAAAGCATAGGTCCAAACTAGTCCCTCTGAATGTGGGTGACAGTTGTATGACTGGGGCTGACTGCAGGGCCACTGGCACCAGGATTTATCCCTACTGCTTGTACTGGCTATTTTGGAACCCATTCTCTTTGGATGGATACCTTACTCAGCCTAGATATAAAAGTGAGGGCCTTGGACCTTCCCCAAAGCAATGTGCCTTCCCTCCCTGGGAAACGGGTGAGGGCTGGGGTAGGGAAAGAGAGGAAGGGAGGGAGTAGGAACTGGGATTGGTAAGTAAAATGAAAAAAAAGATTGTTTTCTTTTTAAAATAAATAGACAAAAAGAAAGGGTGACTCTTCCTCCTCATAAGGCCCTGACTGGGAAGCCACAGCGCTTCTTGTCCTGTCCTCCCCACTGAGTCCTCCTCCTATTTTCATCAGCATCCATCCTTTCTTGATCATTTGTGTTGCTTGACTGGCATCCTATTCCCTTGGCTTGACTTTCCACACTTCTCTTGTGGCAAACAGATCTCAACTCTTCTCCTTTTTTTTTTTTTTTTTTTTTTTTTTTTTTTTTGTGGTTCCAGGATTGGGCCTCAAACCTCTTCAAAATAAACATATCTTTTTTTTTCTTTTTTCTTTTTTTGGATTTTCGAGACAGGATTTCTCCGTAGCTTTTGGTTCCTGTCCTGGAACTAGCTCTTGTAGAACAGGCTTGCCTCGGACTCACAGAGATCCGCCTGCCTCTGCCTCCCGAGTGCTGGGATTAAAGGTGTGCGCCACCACCGCCCGGCAAAATAAACATATCTTGACCACTGAACTATACCATAGTGATCATTGCATTTCCATGATGGTTTATGCTTTTGGTCTTTTAGTGAATTCTCCCTACATGTAATGAATTGTATGTCTCCTAAGTTTAAAAGTAGCTTCATTTCAGCCTTCATATTTTAGTCATAATCTGTCTGAACCCTGTTAGTGTACAGTGGAGTGGGTTTATCTCACTTAAACTCCATCCTCTTCCTCACTGACCGTATGGTACTCGTACTCTTGGGATTTCCTTCTGGAACCTCTATTCTGCCCAGAATTATGACCTTTCTCCATATGTTATTATCAACATATTCCTACAGAATATGTGTCTATTCCAAAACTCATTGGTTAGATACCAGTTTTATGGTATTTCGAGGAAGGCCTGAAGGCCTGGACAGACAGGTGAGCTGCAGTGCTGGAGCGGCATTAGCTCTTCTCTAGTTACAGCCACGCGTGTGACTGTTTCAACTGCACAGACGTGGTCATTACCCATCCAAAAGCACAACAACAACAACAATTAATCATGTATGTACTGGCAAAAGAATTACTCACTGTCTGTTGTGCCCACCTGATATCCAGAGACAGATACACGATCAAAGTTTGTTTGACAGGAATGAGGAACGCTTACTATAATTTTTCTTCTGTGAACCAACATTGACAAAGCATCTCGCAGGCCCAAACCATGTAAAGGTAAAGTCATTCTAAGAGTTCAGCTGGATGATTGCTCCGATGCCTGTTCAAAAATTAAATGATAGCTGGGTGTGTTTGCATGGGCCTGCAACCCCAGGCGGAGAAGGATGGCCTCAGAGCAGCATGAACTCAGAGGTACACCTGTCTCAAGTGCATAAAGCAGAACAGATTAACGACTTAATTAAAGAATGGCAATAGGGAAGTTCACCCGATTAGCTCACCCGATAGCCAGCACTATCAGGGCCTATAGACTTCCAGGATGGTGACAGAACACCGGACGGATCCCCCTGACTGACCCGGGGATTATCTCATTGAAAATCTCTTGCCTCACTCCCGAAAGCTAGGTAACAGATCAGGCCATTTCAAAGCCCAAAACACTGGGTCTGTGCGTCCCTTAGTTTACTTTTCTGTTCCTATGCCAGAGTGAGAGGTGCTGAAATTGTAGACCCAGGTGTAGCTAAAACTAGGGCCCCTCTCATAATTATTCTATAACTCAAGTACTTTTCTTAGAATGTCAAACATTCGTATTTTTAAAAGCTACATTTTTAAAGCAATCTGAATCATTTTTCTCCTTACCTTTCCCTAGAGTCTACGTTTACAAAATCTAAATATTACAGAAGGGGGTTGGGTCCGAATAGCTCCGCGCATCAGAAAAGGCCAGCTTAGGACGTACACGTAGGCTCTGGTGTTGAGAGGGAATCACGAAAACGGCCTAAGCAGTTTCTGTAAGCAGCAGGCTCCAGGGTTGGTCTCAATCAGGGGCGCTGAGAGCAAACAGAAAGTTCAGGTCTGAGTGGAGAAGCAGGGAGGGGGCGTGCGGAAAGCTGCTCCTTCATGCAGTGGGCCACTACGTGCTCCGGGTGGACACATGCCCCCACCCTCTCCAGCCAAGCGTGCACCCAACCCGGGAGGAAAATGGAGCTTTGAGGAGGGGCCTTGGAAGCACCTGAAGAAGCGCTTTTGCAGGTTTTTAAAAAACACACAAAGAAAACATTCCCGGGAAATTGCTTAAAATTGCTGGCGCCTTGGCGATGCGGTGCGCACATCACATCACCGCGGTTCACAGCACCGCGGTTCACAGCACCGCGGTTCACAGCACCGCGGAGGAAGAAAAAGGAGGCCGTTGTTTCGACTTAGAGGGAAAATGTTCCATTCGCATCCCCTCACCTACTGGCTCTGGCACACTGCAATCACTCCTCGAATGCCTTGCGAATTTATTCATATGCAAGAAAACAAAGTACATTTATTCTGTTCACACCATCCTCTCCATACCTATTGCTTCATATTTAACCTATGTTTTGGAACTGTTTCCTATCAATACTTAAGAACTGCAGCCTATGGTTGTAGCACAGAGGACTTGGTGCTGGAGCTGTTTTATCTTAGGGCTCTTTTCCCTGGCATTTATCTGGTCCTTACTTCTAAAGGATAAGAACTCTTTTGAGTAACCGTAACTATAATACTATATCCCCATTACACTTTATTTCCTCCTCCTCTTCTTTTTCTTTTTGGTTTTCAAGACAGGGTTTCTTTGTGTAGCCTTTACTGTCCTAGAACTAGCTCTATAGACCAGGCTGGCATCGAACTCATAGTAATCTGCCTGCTTAGCCTCCAAAGGGCTGGGATTAAGACATAGCCAGCACTGTCCAGTTCCCAGTGAACTTTTTAACATTAACTAACATCCCAACACATCTGCCTATCTAAATTAAATGCCAGGTAAGTTTTTAAAACTAGGAATCTTTGCATATGAATCTCTCTCTTTTTCTTTTTTAATTTTTTGAGACAGGGTTTCTCTGTAGCTTCTGGTTCCTGTCCTGGAACTAGCTCTTGTAGACCAGGCTGGCCTCGAACTCACAGAGATCTGCCTGTCTCTGCCTCCCGAGTGCTGGGGTTAAAGGCGTGCATCACCACTGCCCAGCAAAGCAATACTACCCAACGTGGGGGCATGAATGCTTCTGAATCTTAATAAGACGAACATATTGAAGCTGGTCGGTACATCTTTTAGAAAGCCTTTCTTTATGTTCCTTGGATTATAATTCTTGAAGATCCCAGGTCACTATAGGGTGGTGCTCCCTATAGATGGCCCAGGCTGAGAGCATCTCTGTGGTGTGCCCTGGCATGGTCACTGTCCTCTCTAGTTTCTAGGCAGTGGCAGTCTGACCCAGGGGCCCGCGTATGTGGCATAGCACGGGCAGTGTGTAGTTTGCCGTGCATGTGTCCTTTTATTAGGAAGCACGCTGTCTGCCCTTCCGTAATCCTAGTCCTAGTTAATTGGGCACAGAAGTGGTAGGTGATTTTGAAACGGAAGGTCCCCTCATGAAGATCTTCATGACCTCGGTGAGAGACGCCAGTAAAAGAAATGCATACATTGGAAGGACGGAATCCATGTCGTCTTTCCCTCTCACAAGAATCATGTTTCCATTTTGTTTAGAGGCTTTTCAGTGCAACACAGCCTGCCTTTTCCTTCTGGGTGGGAGAAGCTTTCCAGTTTAGAAGGCAGACGTTCACGCACGCGCGCACACACGGTCTGCTGATCATTCACTTTGGAAACTAAACATAGTTCAGGTTGCTGCATGAATTAAAGCGGGGAATCCAACTGACGTGGTGAAGTTGCGGCCACCCCAGGGTCTTTAGTTCCAGGAGGTTCTGAGTAGCAGCCTTGTCTACCCAGAGACATTGCCTTCCTTTTTCATCTCGTGCGGGAAGGAGGGGCTGACACTGGTCACCTGTAGAAGACCAGGAGTTGGACCCCAAAGGTGCTCACGAGCTACAGAACCCCACACCTAGCAAAAACTTCTTTCTAGTCTGGCCCCAGAGCTAGGAGCTAGACAAGGAGAGGGGTGGATGAGGTGAGGGGGCGGGGCGGGCTAGGCTCCGCCCTTCTGTTACTTCTCTTAACCTGGCACAGGTACCCGCAGACCAGAGCCTGCAGCAGTCTCTATCTCTTCTGTTTTCAGGAGGTTGGACGTGGTGCAGAATCCAGAGAAGTCCGTGCCCAGCCATGGGGAACCGCGTTTCTCGGGAAGATTTTGAGTGGGTCGACACCGATGAGCCGCACGCGCAGAGGAGGCTTGAGATCCTGGGTGAGGTCTTGCTGGGTGGCTATGCACCAGAGTGTGTTGTGTGGTCTCTGCTCAGGTTCCCAATAGAAGGAGAGGCCTAGGCTAGGTTCAGGGCGCTCACAGCCTTGGGGATGCATGGCAGAGGCTGGTCCCTGGGCAAGGGCACCCTCAACCCAACCTGCTGATTTGGGTTAAGGATCTCCAGACTGAGACATCCCAGGCCTTATCCACTAGCTAGGAGACTCTAAGGATGTCCAGTGGGCAGTGGATTTCCTAAATAGCTTGCCACTGGAGAGTGAGGCACAGGAAGTGGTCCTGGGAAATCCTGGGGTCCCTGAAGCCAACAGGGCTTCCTGGAGAGAACAGGTCCTGGTGTGCTTGCATCTCCTGTCTTTGTGAGCCTACCACAAACCTGGGACCACAAGGGCAGCTCATAGACAATTCTCATACTTTCTGGCTGTCAGGGTGAAGAAACTGGAGCACAGATGACAGCCAAATACAGAAATACCTGGCTTGTCCTGGAAGTTGTTTAGGGCTTTAAACCAGTCTGACCAGGTCTTACAGCTCTAGAGTAGACTGGGACCCTCTGTGCTCACAGGGAATGCTCCTCCCTCCCAGCTGAGCTGGGTTCTTTCTGACATTCCCTAACCTCCCCTCGTTCCAGGGTTTTGACTTTTCTGCCTTTTGGAAGCTGCAGTGAGAAGGAAGGAGGTCAGTGCTGGGGGGGAGGATTCTAACCCGGTTAGAGCAAAGAGCATGCTTTTCACCTCTTCTGTCTGTAGAAGTACACCGTGAGGACCCCACACCCTCTGCTGTCCCCAACACAGCGCTTGAACCATGAGCATGTCCCCAATGTCACAACACCCTAGAGGGCAGTGACTCTTGCTGCCTCTGTATAGTGTACACTGTGCCAAAGTCACCACTCACAGTCACAGATGGTACAGGGGGACTGTGATGGAAATAGGTCAACACTATAGGACAAACTGACACTTCAAGGCACACCTCCAAGAGAAAAATCACCCCCTTCCTAAGAAGTTCATGAAACCGCTAGAGTTACTACCAGACACGCCTCCAAATCTCAAATGTACAAAATTTATATAAAACAGGGTAACGATGCCAGAAAGAGAACAAAATAACTTCTTAGCAGTAGATGCTACGTAAACTATTGTGCATGAAGTGCTTGGCGAAGAATTTGTGAGAACGGGGCCGGGGGTGTAGCTGAGTGGTTGACTGTATGGCCTGTGTGAGGCCCAGCCAACACCTTACTGAAAGGGGAAAGAGCCGAAAGCATTTCCTCCGCATTCAGGAAGAAGGCAAGGCTGCCACTCCTGCTCGGTTTGGTATTATACTAAGAAGTCCGAGAAAGAGTAAATGGGCCAAAGAGAGACAGGAAATAGAAAGCAGAAGGTGGAAGGTCAAATGTCCTATTTGCCCAGGTGACTGCACATGCAGGAAAGCCGACTCCACATAAGGCTATTAGACATGACCAGTTCAGCAACACAGCAGAACACAGAGTCAGCAACACAGCAGAACACAGAGTCAGCAACACAGCAGAACACAGAGGCAGCAGCCGAGAACTAGCTTATTTGCTGGGCATGGTGGTAAACGCCTGTGTACTAGCTACTCGAGAGGCCGATGCAGGCTAGCCAACATAGCAAGAATCCATCTTTTAAAACACTACCTCTGGGGCTGGAGATACGGCTCCGCAGTTAAGAGGATTTATTGCTCTGCAGACAATCCAGACTTGGTTTCCAGTACTGACGTGACAACTCACAAACACCTGTTACTCCAGTGCCGGGGAGCAGACACCCTTCTCTGGCCTCTGAACAGCTCACGAACATGTTACTCCCGTGCCAGGGTATCAAGACACCGTTCTCTGGCCTCTGAGGGCAAGAGGCCTGCACATGGTACCAATACACATTCAGGCCAAACACTCATATTGATGACAGGGTTTCTCTGTGCAGCCCTGCAGTCTAGGAACTACCTTCTAGACTGTGTAGACTAGGCTGGCTCTGAAATCAGAGATCTACAGTCCTCTCTTGTGTTCTGGGATTAAAAGTGTGCTTCACTATGCCCAGCTGGCATAAAATAATTTTTTAAGGTTTAACTAAAAATCCTGAGTTTCTCCATATCCCCAAAAATAAACTTGGTGGGAGAGAGATACTAAGTTACCCTCACAATAGCCGTAAATGGTTAACTAGCTCAAAGTGAAGTTTACCATTGACATAATAGACTTTGATAATGAAAATTACATAATATTCATGAGAAATTGAAGTAGACACACAAAGTAATGGAAGTATCCACATAGAGGATTTTGAAATTTTACTCCTCTCAGCATATCAAAAACTGACTCAAACTGGGCTTGGTGGCACATGCCTTTAATCCAAGCCAGTCAGGTTATGTGGGGAAACCCTGTCTCAAATCAAAACAAAACAAAACCTAAAAGTGCATCAAACACCTAAGTTAAGACCAGAAACAATAGAGAGAAATCATAAGGAAGACAAGTGAAGATCGTGTGTAGACAACAATTTTCTGGATTGGAGTTCAAAGGCAACCACAACAAAAATTGAAAAATAGGGTTTTACTAAAGCAAGTAGCCTCTGCAGAGCAGAGAGAATAATCAACAGAGTGAGAGGGACAGAATGGAAAGTATTTGTCAACTGATCATGTGACAGAGGACTAATATCTAGAATGCATGAGGATTATTTAAAAACAACAACAAGCCGGGCGGAGGTGGCACACGCCTTTAATCCCAGCACTCGGGAGGCAGAGGCAGGCGGATCTCTGGGATGCGAGACCAGCCTGGTCTACAAGAGCTAGTTCCGAGACAGGCACCAAGCTACAGAGAAACCCTGTCTCGAAAAACCAAAAAAAAAAAAAAAAAAACCAATAACAACAACAAAACACTCAAGTAACCAGTAACCCAAATTTAAAAGGAGTAAGTGATAAGAAGAGGCACTCCTGGGCTGGAGAGATGGCTCAGAGGTTAAGGACATTAACTGTTCTTCCAGAGGTCCTGAGTTCAATTCCCAGTAACCACATGGTAGCTCACAACCATCTACAATGACATCTGGTGCCCTCTTCTGGCCTGCGGTCATACATGGAGGCAGCACACTGTATTGTACACATAATAAATAAAATCTTTAAAAAAAAAAAAAAAAGAAGAAGAAGAGGCACTCCTCAAAACAAGCAAACAACAAAAACCAAAGCAACAAATAGCCAAGAAGTAAATGAAAAAATTCCCAGTGTCCTTAGACATCAGAGAAATGTAAACAAACCTGCAACAATATCCCACTACGACTAAAATGACCGTTACTGCTTAAACACTGCTAAAGATGTAGTGAGCACCAGGTTCAGTGATAGGCTCTGTCTCAAAATACAAGGTAGAGGGGCTGGAGAGATGGCTCAGTATACCAGCACCTGCTCTTGCAGAGAACCCAGGCACGCACCTGATGGCTCACAACCACCATAACTCTAGTTCTAGGAGATCTGATGCCTTCTTCTGACCTCCATGTACACTGAGCACACGCGGTGCACATACATACATGCAGGCAAAAACCTTATACACATAAAATAAAAAGGTATCTTTTAAAAATGTAAGCTACAAGTTGGAGAGTGACTGAGGAGCAATTCCTCATTGACAGAACTATGCACATGCTATTCTGTGTAGATAATGTATGGAGGTCAGTATGTCAGATAACAGCAGACATAGAAGGGTAAGTACCACAGCTCCTTCACACGGAAAAGCCACAAGTTGATTTGGAAATTGAAACACTGTTGCTAAAGATTAGGAAGTGTATCGAGGAGAGGCAGGAAAGGGGAAGATAGATTTGACCTGTACAAGGGTGTCTTTTGCTCTGGCACAAAGTCTGCCACCTAAATTCAAGAATATTTAGAAAATAAATAATTATGCTCCTTTATTATATCATACAGTGTTTTGCATATTATTATTAAATGTTCAGAAATACTAACTAATGATAAATGACAAATAATTGTTTCTTCAAGGGATAGAATACTTTATTCAATCTTGATTTGTCATTACACCCTTAGAGAAAGTAAAATATTGAGCTAGGAGGCTTTACTTAATGTGTATGTGTCTAAGTGTATATGTGTGCCCCAGGTACGTGCTGGCTGAACGGTGAGCCCCAAGGATCCACCTGTCTCTGCTTCCCTAGCATGGGGATTAAAAGATCATGCTAGTACCAGGCAGTGGTGGAATATGTCTTTAATTCCAACATTTGGGGCTCAGAACCAGGAGGATTTCTGTGAGTTCAGGACCAGCCAGGGTTGTGACACAGAGAAACCCTGTCTAAAAAAAAAAAAAAAAAAAAAGAGAGAGAGAGAGAGAGAGAGAGAGAGAGAGAGAGAGAGAGAGAGAGAGAGAAAAAAGATTATGCTAGCAAACTTGGCTTTTGTTTGGGTTCTGGAGGTCAAACCCAGGTCTTCATGCTTGCATAGCAAGCGCTTTGCCAGCTGAGCTCTCTCCCCAGGCCCCATCATAATTTCTTAGCTATGTTCACTATTTTTTGTAATTATAACTGTATTTTTAGCCACTTATGATTCTTGTTTTTTTGTTGTTGTTGTTGTTCTTACAGCAAAGTATCCAGAGATAAAATCCTTGATGAAGCCTGACCCCAACCTAATCTGGATCATAACTGCGATGGTTCTCACCCACATAGCTTCCTTTCACTTAGTGAAAGACTTGGAGTGGAAATGGGTCCTATTTTGGTCCTTTGTCTTTGGTAGCTCCATTAACCATTCAATGACTATGGCTATCCATGAGATTTCCCACAATTTCCCCTTTGGCCACTACAGGGCGCTGTGGAACCGCTGGTTTGGAATGTTTGCTAACCTCCCTTTTGGGATTCCATATTCGGTTTCCTATAAAATGTATCACATGGACCATCATCGATACCTCGGAGTGGATGGCATCGATGTGGATGCGCCTTCTCATTTTGAGGGCTGGTTCTTCTGCACCCCCTTCAGGAAGCTTGTCTGGGTTGTTTTCCAGCCTTTGTTTATTTTCCTTCGACCTTATTTTGTCAGTCCGAAACCAGTTACTTCTCTGGAAACTATCAATATTGTGGCCCAGATCACTTTTAACAGTATGGTTTACTATGTTTGGGGAATCAAGTCTTTAGTCTACATGTTGGCAGCCTCCCTATTTGGCCTGGGTTTGAACCCAATTTCTGGGCATTTAATAGCTGACCATTACATATTATTAAAGGGGCAAGACACCACCTCATATTATGGGCCTTTGAACTTCCTTATGTTCAATGGGGGCTATCATAATGAACACCACGACTTCCCCAGTATTCCTGGAAGCCGCCTTCCACAGGTAAGTGAAGCTTCAATTCATTGTTTTAGTTCTGATCATTATATGATCCAAATTAGTCTTTACTTGCTCATTTTTTAAAGAAAACTGGTTTATATTATCAAACAAAAATTCACTTAAAAAACCATAAAGCAAGCCAGGCGGTGGTGGCGCACACTTTTAATCCCAGCACTCGGGAGGCAGAGGCAGGCGGATCTCTGTGAGTTCGAGGCCAGCCTGGTCTAGAAGAGCTAGTTCCGGGACAGGAACCAAAAAAGCTACGAGAAACCCTGTCTCGAAAATAATAAAAAACAAACAAACAAAAAAAAAAAAAAACAAAAACCATAAAGCATAGTGTATGCCCAATGTCTGACAGACTAATTTTACTAAAGTTCACTTTCTTGGATTCTTACATTTGGCCATTACAATTAGGATTCAGAAGTGTTAGAAGATGTGCAAAATCTATTACTTGGTAGAATAACTCAGTGGGTTATGAAAAGGAGACATGCAATTGGAAGGATACTTTGGCAGGGTCAGGCCTGGTAAGAGCAGGGGATTGATATTATGAAATATGCTGCCCACATGTATAAAATTCCCAAAGAATGAAAGCAAAGAAACACCCATCTAAACAAAGCCCATCAGACCAGCATGACAAATGGATGTACACGCTACAAGGGGATTTCATTTTTTTTTAATTAATTTATTTATTATGTGTACAACATTCTGCTTCCTACACACCAGAAGAGGGTGCCAGATCTCATTACAGATGGTTGTGAGCCAACATGTGGTTGCTGGGAATTGAACTCAGGACCTCTGGAAGAGCAGTCAGTGCTCTTAACCTCTGAGCCATCTCTCCAGCCCGGGGGATTTCATTTTTAACTGAGTTATTTTACCAAGTAATAGATTTTGCACATCTTCTAACACTTCTGAATCCTAACTGTGCATATGATGTGTAGATTGTCCTTATTCATGAAGAGCCATGAGCAAAGGTGGTGCCCTTTGGCTGGCTCGGTATTGTGTCCCTCCGTCTGCCAGACATGCACCCATCATCACGTGGCCTCAGTAACACTCATGGTTCACCTTGCTGTGTTTTTCACTTCCAGGTGAGGAAAATAGCAGCGGAGTACTATGACAAACTCCCCCATCACAGCTCCTGGATCAAAGTACTGTATGATTTTGTGACGGATGACACCCTGAGTCCCTACTCACGGATGAAGAGGCCTCCAAAAGGGAACGAGAATCTGGACTAAATATCACAGCCAAAGGAATTCCTCTCCGAGCTTTCTAGTAGCCAACACTGTGGAACTGTCTCCCCACCCTGGCTCTCTCACTGGTAATTTAACTGAGGCAGCACACATGCCCAGCAAGAACTCTGCCAAATGAGCTATCCTCCCAGGCTGATTTTTTGCCTGATTAGTCTTGGGATCAGTGATGGACAGAATCTGTCTTGCTACAGTTTAAACTCAGATCTCCATGATATTAAGAATTCACTCTGGCTTTCAGTTGGTCTGACGGTTACAGTGCTCACCTCTGCCTATAGGGCGCTTGCTTGTTGAATTAGCATTCCTGGTGGGGTCTTCACCTATGTCTATCATGTTGTAAGCACATCACGAAATGCCTACGTTACTACAGGATCTTTACCATTAAATTTTACTTTAATTAAAAAAAAGGTTACCAAATGTGCTGTCAATCAAAATGCATTTACCTTTTTTTGTATTTCACTGTATTTTCTGTATGTTATAGGGTTACATTTGTACTTGGGGAAACTTAGCTTTAAATTCTCTTCCCACAAAAAGGACTAGAAAAGCTCAGAGACTGTGGTGTTCCAGGTCCCAGGGAGGAGACTGACTTGGCGCCCTCTGCTGCACCCAGCTTTAGGTAGTTTACGGGGTTTTGGACTTGGATCTACGTGCTTCTACCTTAAGCATTTTACCCATTTTCCCAGTCCTATACTTCTGTTCTCAAAAGCACAGAGAGCAGAGCGTGCACACCCTGGGAAGGTGAGCATCCTGCTTCAGTTTAAGGACAGCATCTCCTTCTACTGTGCACACTGCAAAGTGGATGGTCCTCGTTAAAAGGAAAAGAAAGAGGAAGTTCCAAAATATGAAGTGACTTCTATCAGGTTGGCCAGCTTCCTCTTACAGTGGTGGTGAACCGGAACCGGATCTAGCCACCCTCACTCTAAGTTTAAGGCCTGTCTACTGTCTGTGATAATACACTTCAGTTACATATCCACAAGAGCCTCCTTGCTCACATATGAGAGAAGGGGCTGGGAAAGGGTGTCTTTAGTTGGGAACTGGGTGTCTAAATGCCAAGACGGAATTTCAGTAGTTTGGAAGGAAATCATCCCCACTGATGGCTGGTTCCTCCACTCTCCTTCCTGTCCTCTCACATTCCAAGAGGTGGAGCGGTTTCTGCCTCCAGCCTGGGGTCATAGAACTAAGGAAAGCTGAGAAGGAAAGAGAAGGCAAGCCGGCCACATAGGCACGCATTGTCCACATGCCCATGTTTGTGACGGGCAGCCTTGCAGGATCTGGCTTGTGCCTGCCTCCTTACACATCGTGCCCTCCGTCCCTACCCATTGCTGTGTGCCAGCCCCAACACAGTCCTTTGTTCCATACTCAAGACTGGCACAAATTAGGGCCTCCTCCACACCACCCCCTGTACCAGTTCCAATCTGGCCAACTCCTTCCCTATGCCCAGCTCTCGGCTCAGAGGCCTTCTCTTTGAAGAATCCTTTCCTATGCAATTGCTTAATTTTTCAGTTTTACTAAAACCAACCCTGAGACAAGGATCAGAATATAAGTGGCTTCTCAGGAAAGATACCTTAGGGAAGGGCAAGGGAGTGGGAAATAGGTCAGAAAAGTGAGAGAAATGTGTACAAAGGAAGTCGTAGGAACCATGGAACACCCAGGCTGGGGCGCAGCCAGGCATGGAGAAGCCACCCAGTGGGCACGGGAAACTGAACCCCACCCTGACTCCTGGGACAACTCCTGGACTGTCCCGCCAATGGCGATCTCTTGGGTCTGCACGGATGAATACACTCACTGTATTGTCTCCTTTCCCTGCACGCCACGTGACTTTAAAGGTCTCTCTGAGCAGCAAGGAAGCAGAGCTGCACACTGGTCAGCTCCAGCCTCTCTTCACTCAGCCTTGGTCACTCAAACTCTGTGAAATAGAAAGGGCAGAGAAAATTCTTAGGCGCAGAGATCCGTGTCGAAGGCACTAAGGATCACTGGTCCTGAGCGGATGGCTAGACAGGAAAGCGGGTACCTGAGCAGAAACTGTGCTGCCCCTCTGGTGCCACGCCACCTCTCCCACACCATCCTCTAGCTCAGGTCTTAGGGGACTAATGAGGACCTCACTGGCCCAGTGTGGAAGAGGACACTGATAGGCCTAGAAAAGAGATCTGGAAAGGGATACTCAGAGTTCAAGGAACTTGCCCATAGCCAGAAAGCCCCACAGAGTAGGCTAAGGCTTGCCCCGCTCCCAAGTCTTTAAGGAAACAACACTATTAAAAAAAATTAAAAGGCAGCCAGACATGGTGACACACACCTTTAATACCAGCACTCCAGAGGCAGAGGCAGGTGGCTCTCTGAGTTGGAGATCACCCTAGTCCATAGAATTGTGAGTTCCAGGGCAGCTAGGGTTAGGTAGAGAAACCCTGCCTCAAAACAGTATCCTATCAAACAAAAATTAAAGGGTGTAAAATTGGGGCTGAAGAGATGACTCGGTGGTTGAGTATACTAGTGCTCTTCCGGAGGACCTGGGTTCGATTCCCAGCACCTGAGATGGGATGATCTCATGTTCAAGGTTTCCTGTGCTGCAGAAGGAACTCAAGGGCATTCTGGACAAAAAGAACAGGCTTCCTGAGGCTGGGAATATTGCTCAGTGGTAGAATGCTTGCCAAACATCATCCCTAGTTTTAATACCAAAACCTTAATTAAAGGAATAAACAAATGAACAAATCTTTGTGGTACATGACTTAGAGACTTTTGGGCATTTTCCCAGGAGTGGTATCTGATCTAGGATTAAACGTGAATGTACTGTATAATTTTAGAGTGCTAAGTGCACAGCTGGCAAGGGGGAGTTCTGTTTTTAGTTGTCTTGCTTTTTAAACGCACACTAATCTTCATAGTTGTTGCCCTAATTTACATTACATTCATAGTGTGTGAGTGCCCATGGGGTCCAGAAGAGCAGCTCAGATCCCCTGGGACTGGAGTTCCAGGGCTTGTGACCAATCCAATGTGGGTGTTGGGAACTGAACTGCTGTCCTCTGTAAGAGTAAGAGCTCTTAACCACTGAGCCATCTCCCCAGCCCTTGTTGTTTTCTTTTTTTTTTTTTAATTTATTAAAGATTTCTGTCTCTTCCCCACCTCCGCCTCCCATTTCCCTCCCCCTCCCCCAATCAAGTCCCCCTC